CCCCCCCCAAACATACTGCTCAATTGTTTTTTTATTTCATTAGGTTTACATAATAATCGAATTAAATAGAATGCACTCAGCACTGATTACCACCGCATAATAATGAATATGGTGCGGATTTATGGCATTTTGTTAATACGTTAATTTTGAATGCAGAATGTAATGGTTATTAGTTTTGGATCTATACGTTTCATGAAAAATTAAAGCGTTTGAGCCTATTTTTATTTTGCCTTTTTTGCTTGTTTTGAACAATGGCGCTTCAAATGCTTTTTGTTGCTTTTTTTTAAAGTTCATGCTTAAATTGGATTGGGATCATATTTGGCAAGTTAAGTTAATTGAATGTGGTGGTACAGAATGTTGGGTATCCGGAAATTAATGCGGCAATCAATAGATAGTTTAACAAAAAAACAGCTGAAATTGGGTCAAAGCTACTTAAAAAAATTCCCGCGCACCTCTGCATCTGCAATTCTGTAGCTTTTTTATTCNAGTAGAGAGAGTAGGTTGCCTCGTAACTTTAGAGAGACGCGTCATCGAGAATCCGGAAGTCCCATTTGATTGGTGTTTAAATTTTCGTTGACTTTGACAGTTATATTTGAACTGTGTAAGTACTTAATTGTCAGACAGTGCTGAAGACTCTATTACGAATACTTATTATAATTCGATTGAATACTTACTGTTGGATACTTAAGTATCAATATAGGGTATTAGATGCCGGATGGAAATCTTTGTGACGTTGTTATATGCAATAGCAGCTCCAACAAATCGAAAGCAAATGGATCGCAGATTCAGTTTTTTGCTTTTCCAAAAAGTAATTCCTGTATTACAAAAAGAATGGGTTACAAAGTGCAATAGAAATGGGAACCTGAACCCCGACTGTGCAGTTTGCATTTCCGCCCGAAGACTATGAAGATGAAATGTAAGCTATTTTGAATAAAGTGCGTTTTCGCCAGCATGTTTCTTTCTATGCAATGCAGGAACTTTTCAGCACATCCATGTAAAGTACCATTTCGATCCATTTTGCATTTTTTGAACTTGCTCTGTTGTTGTTTCGTTAATAATTAATTTTTATGATGTGGACAAAATGGGATTCTGGGTGACGTCATTCGCGTATTTTAATACTGAACGTTTATTGGCTGAAAGTTACGAGACAACCTACTTTCTCTATTAACCTTGACTAAAATGTACAAAACTTGAAAAATAAGTAAGTTTCATCCGAAACCAAAATACTACATCATTCTTCAGGGTACTACTTGTGACAAGACACTAATAGTTCGCTACACTATTTGCTATTTATTTAGTTGTGTACCTCTAAAGGTTACTACGTAATATTTTTTTATCTTTTGTATTAATGCGAAATATGTACCTCATCATGTACCTAGTTGTCTCAGATGAAGGTGTTATGAATTATCTTTTACGAAAAAAGTAAAAATATTTTGAAATTTGTACATTTGAAATTTGAATGTATATTAAACTCACATTTTTCTTAAACGTGTGCACGACGACCTTTAAATGTTTACGTCTTAGGGAAGGAACTTTCTTTCATAGTCTAAGGTTTACGTAATGACTTTATATACATCTGCTATTTTACTAATTTGATCTATTCCATACATTATTGCAATTAAATCCCGAACTCTCCTAAAACTGTTCTCACTTTTGTACCATACCAATTTACAATTTGAACCTTCATCTCTAAAGGAAGCATTTTGCTGGACGGCGGTATTTTTAAAAATGTAACAGCTGTCAATTTTATCTACTACTCATTTGAACTACTCAATAGATTGATGGGTTTTTTTAAAAATCGAACACATTGAAATTCTTAGACAAGGAAAGGGGAAATTACATTGCATACAAAATCCTATGTTCGCCTTTTAAAAAAAATCACTGTACATAGACTAGACGTAGTCCGTAGACGTACATATCTAAGTATCTAAGTTCCCGGTTCCGTGACGTTAATGAATGGACTTAGTACAATTTCCTTAATCAAAGTGGAACGAAAAAGTTTGTTATAACGTTTGAAGAAGTGATTGAAGCGTCAAATACCTACCTATGCCGTCACGTCATTGCAAGATATCGACTTGTTTTCAAAATTATCAATATTTAACACTCACTATTTACCCGTTAGCGCATGTCATGACTCATGCTTAATTGAAATTTGACTTTTCTAACACACGTGGCAAGTTCACACTAGCTACTTTTACAAAATCGTTTTTATCTATTACTCTCGCCAGGAAAGATGGCCGGTCATAGCACACCTTGTGTCGATCTACAATCTATGTTTTTCTTAAGATGCGAACGACTTCCGGAATAGAATCGTGCCAATGTTGAACGAAAAGTCTTTTTGTTCAACATTGATACATAGATTGTATATCGGGATCAAGTGTTCTGTGACCGGCAATCTTTCCTGGCGAGAGGTTTACCTTAGGCAGGCTTAGCTTATAGTTCAACGGGATCTGAGTTTACTCAATGGGAATACATTTATGTCCATAATCTAATGCTGCGTTGCTTCAGTTGCTTGTAGATAACTTTCGCTGAGTCGCTGACTGAGAATTGCGGGTAAATGGGGATTTTCAAGGCATTCGATTACGTTTAACCTAAAACGCGCGATTAACATTCCAATGAAATTATTGTTATTGTTTCGAAAGTATATCACTATGGTCGGGTTATCATGTTTGATGATAAAAAAGGGTATTTAAGACGCGAGCCATACAAGAAACCGTGACGACTTCACATTGGAGTGACTGCGTGATTGATTTTTTTGCAGCAGTCGACGACGTCCAAATAGCGTATGTAAATAAACTAGTTTGTTTGTCTTATCTTTATCTGAAATACTTTTATTCAAAGTGCATAATATAACTTGATGGTTTTGAGCTAGGTTATTATTATAGAATATAGTTTCGTGTATGACTGATATCCAATATCAAAGAGTGTTACTCCCCAAAAAATATCAATTAATTCAACGGCAAAAATGGTATTCAAATATCAAAACTGAATTTTGTGCTATTCAGTAATCAGCCAATCGCAGATTGTCTTGAATACGAATATAAACGAAGATCACGTGTCGAACGCTAGTATATAACTAAATATCCGCCTACAGAGGTCTCTTTTCCATTACAGCCGAAGAACTATACAAACGATTAGATTAGTAGTGATAAACGCATCCATTCTAGGTTCAGAATGCCGCAAAATAATCTAACTAACGGATACGCTAATGGCCACATTGAATACGAAATGGAAAATGGATCGAATTTTTTATTTACGTCCGAATCGGTGGGAGAGGGACATCCAGGTAAGTTTATTTTTTCGAAATGTTATGTAAAAGATGGCTACCGGTTAACTAAATTTAAGCGCGCTTTACTGTCGCTCGCTAAATTTCCTTTTTATAAAACAAATTTGAAGTGAATCTTTTTCGTCTCATGTTAGGAATGTAGTGAATTATATAGTTCGTAAATATATGACATATCCAAGATCATTGGCACCACGTGCTTTTCAGCGGACGCTACATTAATATTCTTTGTTTTTGTTTTAGATAAAATGTGTGACCAAATTAGCGACGCAATTCTGGATGCCCACCTACAACAAGATCCAAACGCCAAAGTAGCATGTGGTATGCCATTTAGGTTAATAGATAAGCACATGTGCTTTAACGAGTCTTTTTTAAGAAACCGTAACAAAAACTGGAATGATATTACTGTGCGGCGAAATTACTTCAAAAGCTGTCGTCGATTATCAAAAAGTGGTTAGAGAAACTGTGGAACACATCGGTTACGATGACTCCTCCAAAGGTGAGCGATAATTATGTGCATGCCAAATTTTTAGGTTATATTTCGCATTTACTTGCAATTGTCGAAATTTTGCACATTGCATTGTCCACATTTTTGTAATTATAATGTACTTAAATGTCCCAAGAGTGTGCTAAAGTAAACGAAGACTGTATGCATTCCCTTCTAGTTTTTTAAATTAGAAGAGGGGCATTCCTCTTCGTACAATTTCTCAAGCGCTTATTTGTGCAAATCCTTTTTCTTAGTATAGGTATGTTTATTTATTAATCAGTTAGCTCGCCAATTTCATTACACGCTTGTTTCTTGCTCGTTACAGGCTCATGGCGTGTAAAGGTGCAAAATGAGCTAATAAATAACATACCTTGTGTTGAATAGTGAATGCGGAATAGATATTATTGCAGAGTTTAATTGTAACTGTGTAGATATATTTTTGTGATTTTCTTAAGTTTGAAAACATTTACAAATTACAATATACCTGTATATGCAAATTTGATTGTTAATTGAAAATAAACATTGATCCTTCAATACAAATTTGAAAATGTCAACCATAATAGCTTTAAATTTTGCAACAGTTGGAAAAGTTGACCTACATTTTCCAAAAATAACTACAATCCCTGCAGAGAAGTACAAAAATTGGCATTCTATTAATAATTGTTTTGCATAGTAAATTCTGATTATGCTATATAGGGTGATCGCATACATGCAATTCAATTGTCGCTTGGTATGAAGCAATTATGTTTGTAGGTGCTCAATTAGCACAGTATTATTATTATCAAAGAAAACATTTGTGTATGTATTTTGCATCATTTATGCACATCTATATTGTAGGATTTTAATATGTAGGGAAATTATCCAGCTATTCTACCTAATTGTTTGCAATTGCTAAATGAAAATTATATGTTTGATAAATTTACATTTTCCATCAACCAAAGATAGGTTTGCTGTACATGGTTGAACAGCTCTATTTGAACAGATAAATTCAGTATGGCAGATATAAGGAATAACAAAAGTTGACTATGGCTGCAAAAAAATAAAAGATCTAGAAAAAATTAGTTAGTATAACATCATTCAATTGATCGTGGTCGTCAATACAATATTTCAATTTTTTGGTGTTTGCACCATATGTTGGAAACTGCTGTAGATATTTTTTTCCTATAGGTACAGCATATGATTGGGTTAGGGGTAGCACCTTTCCCATTTAAAGTAGTTAGAGCGCGTTCGGCTGAAGTCGAGCGATGTACTCGGCCTACCTATTATTTACGGTAAACGCCAGAGCAGACGCCGCTTCGGCGGTAAATATCTTACTTATTTCATCATGAACATGTACTTTTCCGTGCATATTTAGATTCGTCACAAAATTTCGCTTCTAATGCGACCCATCTCATTTAAGTCTTGTTACAAAAACCTTCGCTAGCTCAGAAAAACTGAGTCTGTCCACCCTGTTTTTACTGTCAAATATCTCAGAAACGGCACATAGGAACACTTTCTTCTTTTGACCATTAGAAAGTGCGTCTCTCAAAGAATAAGTGACCAAATTTTCACCAACTTCTTGTTACTTTTACCTAGGCGCTCTAACTACTTTATACAAAATGGTCTTATTAAGCATAAAAGAATAAATTTATAGTCTTCAAAAATTTTCAGTTTTCGAAATCTTGACTTTTTTTTATCGTATAAATGCTATTAAATACGGTTTTAAGTGTCATGGCCAACTAACAAAACTTAATAGCATTTTTACAATGGAAAGCATATTAAATAGCCATTTCGAAAACTGAAAATTTTTGAAATAAACTATTTTTTGTTTGTGCTTAATAAGCCACTTATAAAAGTAGAAAGTTCCCATTTAAAAAAAACTTGATTTTAACGATTTTTTCAATTCGATTTATAGTGTTATATCTTGTCCAATGTAAGGATATCGTATCATGGGGATTTCGGAAACCATAGAAGATACGATGATTGTCAAATTAGGGAAAAGTTGCGAAATGAAAGGGTTATTATCATGCAGTAAAGAAAATTCCGTTTACTTCCGAAGAGATGCCAGAAAATCCGAAATTTGCCGATTTTGTTTTTATTTTTTTCTGGTGTTACTTGAACAGATACAGAAAAATTTAAAACATTTTTTCATTGCCACTTTTTCAGCTTTACAAGATACAGTTGAAAGATGTTCAATACAACGTTTCGTTTCGGAGATATCATCAAGTTTATTTTTTTATATGGCCCGCAAAAAAAAAGGTCATACTGTATTGAGTAGCGTTTTTTACTACAAATACGATGTACAATACAAAAAAATTCTGTTGGCTTCTACAGGATGGTGCACCCGCGCACAACGCTCTAATAGTGTGATACAGACGTCTATCGGACCAATGTCCTGTAAAATTGAAGAACTTGTCCGGTTTTTTTGGCATATCTTTGGAAGTAATCAGGTTTGCTTTACAGCATAATACTGTTTAATTGCGCATCTTTTTTCTAATTTGACGATCACCGTATCTTCTACTCCACAATACACAGCCTTATCTTGGATGCAGTGTATAGTTTCATTTTAAATAATAAAGTTGACATCCGCTTTCAGTATAACCGAAAGTGTCACCAGCTTGAAAATATTTAGATGAATTCCTCTTATTGACATCAGTGTAAGTACTGTCGAATTTTAAAAATTTTGCAGATACACAAGGTGTATCCTTTCAATAGGTAAAGGTCTTCACTACGTGATTTCGCATTATTTTCTGGGTAAAAAAGTTCTAATAAAAATTTTCCTTTTGAGCCATCCTGGCGAGGTTGCATAACAAACTGCTAATACCTATGATTCAGTTCACCAAAAAGTCAAAATCTGAAATTATAGCACATTCAATGTCATTCAACTCGTCTCTACCAGCGGCTGCCAGGGATACCTGGATATTTTGAAACAAAAAAGCAATGGTGATTTATATTGGATAATTTCTGTACATACTTTAAAGTAGATAATCTTCCTTAGGCAATAGATATCAAAAGGTTGGCATAGATAAAAAAGAGAAGTTTACGTAAATATATCAACACAGCAGCAACCTCCAAAATCTCGAACGACTGATAAAAGGTTACTGTGTACTTACGCAATTTTAATTTTTTTATGTAGCGGAATGTGGGACACATTTGAAATTATGTTGTAAATTTCCTGCGAATTTCTTCGTTGCAAAATATTGAGATTGTGTATATAAAGGATGGATAACAGAAATTATCTTTGTCTTAACTATTTAGGGTGAATGACATTTGAAACAAGTTTTAAATTGTGTAAGTAACCCATTTCTTATGGAAAAAATTGAAACTTTCAGATTCCAGTAGACAACAATAATCGCGTTTTTTGCTCAAAAACCAATTTGCTTTAATATTTTTCACAATCACAAATTGCAGGAGATTGATAACCTCTATAACAAGCAAGGAAGTAGCAAATATTTCATTATATTCGTACTCATTGATTTTTAATTGAAATATTTGTTAATTTTTTCGAAAACAAAAATTGTAAGATTTTTGCTGAGAGAAAATGAATGTTTTTTTTAATGAAATGAATGAAATTGGAAAAAATAAATTGGATATTGGATAGTGTTTTAAAATTTAAATACGATTGCGTATTAGGATCTGGCAAAAAAATAACAATGTCTATAGCTGTTACTGTGGACTCAAAAAGTGTTTAAACGAAAAGGTGAGTAAATTGTGTTCAGTGTAACCAACTTTTTGTTGTCATTTATAATTTTTGAGTTATGCGAGGAGTTATGACATAAATTTTTCTTTTTTTTATGAAAACTATCATCTACTTTATTAAAATTCCCTTTTTTAATGTTTTTCATTTCTCAACATAACATCCACAGGTAACTAGATCTTGCTGAATTAACATGGCTATGATGGCAATGCATTCAAATGAATTTCTTTTTTGTCCTCTTTCTCATTCTGTAAAAATCCAGTATGGCGTCCGTAAGAAATAAGAAAGTTGTAGCCTGTCAACAAAAATGCCCATAAAAGTTACTAACAGGAACCGTCCTTTCCGACCGTTCAATATAAGGAAAATGAAAACTAAATTTAACATTTTTAATTTTTGAGTAATGTCTCAATTATTTTCAAAAACTTCAAATCCTTTTTTTACTCACAAAAAGGAACAACTTCGCTATTTAATCTATACTGTATCTCTCACCCTTATGGAGATCCCAATGGAATTTGAACTTACGTTGCACCAGACGTTGCACACTGTAAAGAAATTTACTTTCTATGGATACATCCATGTGTTATTATTCAGCAGAGAAAAGAACTGCCAAAGAAACAAATTATGTAGGATGTTTATCGAACAATGGATTTATAAAATTAAAAAATTTATAATGGAGTAACTCTGTGTGTATTTGGTGTTAAGTACATAGAAATTATAACTAAACTACACATTTTTGGGAGTCTTACTTAAACACTCTTAGTAATGTGTTGGGTTACATTTTGTTTCTTCTTCACTTTTTAATTTTATAATTTTAATTTTCAAACAATTCAGAATTGAGTATTGAAGGTATTGAGGTTTAAAAAAAATGTAAAAAAATGTTTTGTGTTTTTTTTTGAACTTTTTTACTCTTATTTTCGAGTGCAGAACGTCATTCGTACTCAGTTATTCATTTCAATTAGCTCAATAGACTGTAATTTGTGGGCACAGAATTGGAAGAAATGTCGACATTTATTTAACAAAGTATTCTAAGATGGCGTTAAACTTGTTTGAAGTTAAAAACAATGTAACCTAAATTACAATGCAAATATTGTCTTTTCCTATAATCCTATAATTCCATCTTTATCCACTAGATTATTTTTGCCTTGAGGGCAACGTCTGATGTATTAACCTATCAGAGTTGCAACAAGTTTTTTGCAGATCTACTAAAGAACAAACATTTAAATATTTGTATGTCCATTTCTAATGTGTTCCACTCTCCGTTACAAAAATCAGTAAGTAAATAGTATGTATTTTAAGGTTTATTTTTTATCATTAAAAACTTTATACACAAAAGGTTTTGTAATCACATCGACAAATAATTGCACAATTGATATCAAATAATCTAGTTTGCTAATCTTAATAAACAATGCGGTAATCCTTTTTGCAAGATCAAGGTTTTACGTCAATGATCAAATTAGGCTGTGACTTTTGTTAATGGAAAAATTTACAAATACAATTAAATGTAGGATTTGATTGGCGTACATTGAATCTTCTTGTGGCTATTGAACAGCAGTCTCCCGACATTGCTCAAGGAGTTCACGTAGACAGGCAGGAACCTGATATTGGTGCCGGCGACCAGGTATAAGATTCGGTTGGGGACAGCATATTGCACAATAAGACTGCGTGATGACTTGATTAGGGATTTAACCTGCTTGCTTTATTTGCTTTTACTTTTAAGATATTAATTTACAATAATATGTGACGTTAACATAAGATCTGCATGATTTTATACAGGGTTTGACTACAAGACATGCAATGTACTGTTGGCTTTGGACCAGCAGTCTTCCAATATTGCTGCAGGCGTACACGAAAATCGACCAGAGGAAGAATTGGGGGCCGGAGATCAGGTGAATTTTAAGTCTTGCTCTGGTTCTTTCGTCTACTTCTTGTCTTTCTGTCTTTTGTTATGTGCAATACTTCTTTAATTGGATATGCTTTGTATCTAGTCTTCAAATAATAACACAAATAAATGAACAGTTTATAATTTCAATTGAGGAATATGTGATGTGATTTTATTTGAAGACATTTTAACTTTTCCATTTCAAATTAAGGTGAATCGTAACATTAAAATTAGTATGATAATGGCATGATAATTGTAATTCGATATATGTGCTATATCACCTTCATTGTGGGTTTCTAATACAATCTTTGTGTTAAAAAATAGGCGAAAAGTCATGGTTCAAGGTTTTTTCTTTTTGCAACTTAAAAATATCTGCTTTTTGTTTTAATTTTTATGACATAATATAAACAATTGCAATCATTGTTAATTCAGTAATTAGCATGGATAGGGTTTGCATGCAGGGTGTATTTTTTTGCTGCACTTATGACACTTTGGTGTCAATTTTTATCGCTTCTTATTTTGGCTAATAATACTTTAAAAAACCATTTATGAACTATTTTATTTGTACCAATCATCTGCAGCATTTTCTTTTCCTTTTCTAAGGGCTTAATGTTTGGATACGCAACAGATGAAACAGAAGAATGTATGCCACTCACAGTGGTATTGGCACACAAACTTAACCACAGAATTGCAGAACTTCGAAGGTCTGGAGAATTTTGGTGGGCGAGACCAGATTCAAAAACACAGGTAAATTTTGATTGTTAATTTATTATGCCACTTGCAGCAGATCTTATTCAGAATCAAAATCTCTGTTAATTAATCATTTGCGATTTTTGACTTTTTAGAAATTTCAAAAACCACAATCACATTTAATTAATTAGTGGATCTGTTGTATGTGCTATTTTTGAGATGCTCCACCACTACATTTCACTTCATTTATGTGTAATGTAGCTTCATGAATGTGTATTGAAACATTCACACATTACGTGCAACCAGCTTTAAACTTAAATTGTATTCAGGAATATACAAGGTCCAAAAATGATTGCAATATTGAGAAATGCACTGTTATTGTATCATTTCAGAATTGTAATGTAGCAATCCTGCAGAAGGCGTTGAAAGGTATCTGTGGACACCAATGGTGCATTTTGCATCTGTAGAATGACAGTATTTGCAGAACGGTACAGATGTTAAAAGTGTTCAATATGTTGCTTCTGCCCATCGAGGCAGTGCTTTTTCATCGTGCACTAGATTCGAATGTACCGGTAAGACAAAACACTGTTAGTCGCACATTTTTAAAAACTTTAACTGTAGTATTAGTTTTAATCAGTTCTATTAAAATCACCGCCGTCCCGGTCCCTCGTGTTCTCTTGCTAAGCGTGGAAAATATTCTGCAATTGTTTCCTTAGAACAATAATTTCCTCAACAATAGCAACCGGTTCTCGTCCGACTTGGGCTGAACGACCGCTTGAAACCAGCTCTTTTTTTTTAATTTTTGCTTAAGTTTGTCTATTGATTTTATTTATTTTTTTGATTCTAATGTCAAAAGACAACATATAATTAATAATTGTAATTCCCAATCAGAAATAATGTAGTTTTGCGGAAAAAAAATATTTTAGTTTTTTTTACTTTGACGTTTTTCTATTTTTATGTAATAAAAAACTTGGCACAATTTTTGTAGGTTAGTTAAAATAAGGGCTTTCGAATGCCTTAATAAAAATGTTAGGTTGTGTTTGGAGACTTTCGAAAGTCTCGTCTCGTCAAGTCTCGTTTGGTCTCGCTTGGTATCAACATTCAAAAACGGTGTAGAGCATATAAAAGGCACCAAGAAGGCATGACCAGTATCTGATAATCACGAAACACAATTATTAAAGGCTTACTTGTATTTTAACTTTTTATTTTCCTTTTTTTCAAAAACGCGCTAAAAATATTTACTGTTTATGTTCATATAAAATAATGATTTGTATTCTGTTCTAGTAAACTTGTAATTCTGTTCGAAAGCAATATAATTTTTAATAGTTGAACAATAACTACCATAGGGTGTTGAAATAATCATCGCTTTTTGTAGGGGATGGAAGGGGTTAAAATGAAATAAGACCACTTTTCTTATTTTATAATTGTATTCGAACGCGCCATAATCAGACATTGATTCAAATACATACTACAGACCAAGGGGTTGATAGGGGTGCAGGGTTCAGAAATCAATAACACAAAAACTCTATAATCGAGGTATTTATTTTAAAAAAAGAATTTAATTTGGTAATTTTTAATTAATAGTATACAGGGTGTTTTATTTAAAAATGTTTGATTAGATCCAATGACCTAACCTGAGCCTGTATGCTTATTTTGAAAACGGCAGATTATTCAACAATCATTATAGAGAAATTTTGTAAGAAGTAAGAAAATATATAAATAAAATATACTTCATTGCAAATTTGAAAGTGCACTGTTCGCCTCTTGCTCACAGGCGGCTTGACAATTTTTTTTTGAGTTGCGCTTGTAAAACCAAAATTGAAAATTTTCACTTGCTTACGAGATATGGGGGCAAATCAAAATGTTTCTTAGTTAAAAGAAATAAAGAAAATGTTTTATGAAAAGTTGTTGAATCTGACTTTGAAAGACGTCTTTGCGGAAGGGAAGGGGGGGGGCAATAATTGAATAAGCTAAGAGAATGCATACATGGAATTCCTCATGTGTCGTTTTAAATGCACCTCCTTAATCCTTTATACAATTTAAATAACATGCATTGGTACTTATTCTATTGTAATTTTAATCTCTGAATGTAATTTATTATGTTAGTTAATGATAAAAATGTACACACGCACAAAGGGCATTCATAAACCTTTATTAGACGCAAAAACGAAATAGTATATTATTACGAAGGCTGTGTTAATCCCAAGGTTGCAGTTTGTTGCCCGAGGAATTGGGATGCACTTTAGTCCTGTGGTATATATGCTATTTTTTGTACTTGTATAATTAAATTACAATTATATTTATTTGTGTTAATGCATTAGAGCGATGCTCATACTTGTCTGAAAAAGGTATTGAACATTGACATTTGAAACATACAGGGTCGCTCTGTTAACTTTAAATAAATTCAGTAAATCAAAGGTTTTTTTTAATATGCTCGGACCCGTCTGTTAGTATTTTAAACTGAGCTCTTTTTGATGTAATAAAATGTTATATAGGGTGTCACAAAGTTGTGATATTTCGCGCAATCATAGAGCCGCCTATTTGATATGTTTTGAATTTATATTAATGATCAGTTGCCCAATGAGTGACGGTGGCAAAAATTCCCCTTGCACTTTTCTCTCTCGGCGCGCTACGTTTCTATGGCAGAGACCGCCAGTGCGCGTTCCAGTTAAGTATAGTTCAGTAATTTGTTCGGATGACAAAAGCAGATCAAGTTACTAATTTGACCCAAATGCCAAATTTTTATTTCTTGTCTGATTTTTTGACAAACCATTGTGAATTGTGATATGTTAAAATGATGGGTCAGTTTGACAAAAAATGATCAAGCTGTAGCTTGATATACTCTTTAAGAATAATCATTAAAAAAATTAGGGTTTATTCCAAGTTAGAGACACCTTGATAAGAAATAATTAAAAAAATACAAATAAACCCCTAAAAAGCATCTAAAAAAGCAGCAGAGCACGTCGGTGTGACCCTATGGAGTCCTGGAATTTGACCCATTTTCAATTGCTTTCTTACATGTGGTGTATATGTTAACTGTGCAAAGTTTTGAACCGAATATGTTCAAGCGTTTGCCAGAAGATAGAAAGGCGTGACTCCAAGGGTCATTGGATTTGATTCCATTTTCAATAGGCTTATTATGGTCAAGGGTTTGACAGTTATCATGTTCACGGACGGATAGACGGACACCATCGACTTCCCTATATAGCTTGCATCGCTTTGCTCTACCGCTTAATTAAACAAGCGTGAAAGATTTGAGATCTTTCGTCTAGAAACTCTTGATGTTATGCATAGGATTCTCGCATAAAAATTTTCATTTTGTATACAGGGCCATAAAATTATGTACCGTTACAACATTTTTAATCTTAATCTTCATTATCAATTTAATTCATGTTTAGTGTATTGGTAAAAATGGGCATTATGATGCTTTATATTATAATCTGATTGATTTTGATGAATGAACAAAACAGTCAAATTTTATTGTGATGAAGCTGTCAGAATTTTCAACAATGTAAAGATATTGCGCCAGTTCCTCCCTGTGGCCAGCATTGACTATATTCTCACACAGCACCTTTGCATAGTAAACATTGTTGCATAATGACCACAGGCCACAATGATAATGTCTCGGATAATGTAACTCATCATAGAATGGCAAAGCCACAGCTTCCCTTTTTTTTGTCTTTTATTACCAATCGACTTGGCAAATAGTCCACTTTTTAAACAAGTGTAGCGTGTAACCCAACTGTAGGGTATTAGTGTGCGTTTACAATGAACGTATACGTAAATATTTCATAAACCGTAACTCGTACATATCCGTATCGTTTCCGTAAATTTACTTCGCTGTTTACAATAAACCAAAGATCATACTACAAGTAGTATGATATTTGACCGTACGTAACTTTGAAACATTTTCAACCTTTGCGACTATGCGCAAGACTTACATATCGCTTACATATACGTACGTAAAAATTACGTTCATTGTAAACACCTTCGTATGTTTCTATACAGTTCAACTTTGCGAAATTTTTACGTTTTATGTATTTCTTACGTATACGTTCATTGTAAACGCACACTTAGACTTCATGCATTTATAACAAACAAATGCGAACACCTGATCACCAGAATTCACCATTGCATTGCATTATACTAAAACTTGTATTTCTTCTTTTCAGGTTACCTGCGAGTATAACTTTGACCATGGAGCTTGCATACCTGTCCGTGTACATACAGTAGTGGTGTCGTTACAACACAGCGATAAAATTACTTTGGAAGAACTTAGAACCTCAGTTTATAATAAAGTGATAAAAGCAGTGATTCCGGCAAGATACTTGGATGACCAAACCACTGTTCACATCAATCCTTGTGGATTATTTATAATTGGCGGTCCACAAGTATGTGCTTTTTAAATTACCATAATACTCTCTTCTAAGATGATGTTTTTTGTATTTGCTACTAATGAGAATCACTGATTGGAAAACCTTGACTGATTAATTTGAACAAATCTAGAATATTTAAAGTTCAGGTGTTTGATGACTAATTTACCTTCTTGTGGTTTAAGAGCGATGCTGGATTAACTGGAAGAAAAATTATAGTGGACACTTACGGAGGATGGGGCGCACACGGGGGTGGTGCATTTTCAGGAAAAGATTTTACAAAAGTTGACAGATCCGGTGCATATGCTGCAAGATGGGTAGCCAAATCATTAGTTAAAGCGGGCTTGTGCAGACGGTGCCTTGTACAAGTTGCATATGCCATTGGAGTATCGGAACCTCTGTCCATCACAGTTTTTGATTATGGAACATCAAAGCTTACACAAAAAGAACTTCTGGCAGTTGTAAATAATAATTTCGATCTTCGCCCTGGAAGAATTGTTAAGTGAGTAATGCTTATTTTTTGTGCGTATGCATAGTATCGCAAGTTCAGCTAATTAATTCCAAATTTCTTTTTTCAGAGATTTAAATCTTCGGCAGCCAATTTACCAAAAAACCAGCATATATGGACATTTCGGTCGGGACGGTTTCGCGTGGGAGCAACCAAAGGTGCTTCGTCTTAACTGACCTTCACTTTCTTTGCCTAGATCATTATTCTAATTTCTCGTATGTAATTGTTTTAGCTGTCCTTGTCCACCAAGAATCCCAAATGATGGCACTCTGAACCTTGGGCTGTGTTATTGAAGTTGGCTATAAGTAGGTTTGCTTGCATAAACCACAGAACATAAATCTGCAATTGTTGTGTTGAGTGAAAGGGTCCGTTTCTACTAGACTAGTTTTCCGTGCTTTTCTCAACACCTTGTGTTGTGTTTACGAAAAAGAATCTATTTGGAAAAGAGCATTTCCGAAAACACATCGGTTTATGTATAGTAGAACCTATGGTAACATTGAGCGCTGGCCGTTCACGTTCACTGTTACAGAATAGTGCATTTCAAGGCATACCTGTATCCTTTCCTATTGAACCCATTTACACATTTAGCGTAAAATATTGTGGTAACTCTTTTTAAGATGTTTTTTAATTGATTAGTTTCTCTTTGGAAACTAGAAATAGGTCTATGGAGCAGTCTTAATGTAAATGTGAAATTTTTAATGTGGTGTAGTAAATTATTGAAAATCATAGTACGCAATTGAAGTTTTAGGTGTAATGGATAATAGTTTTTTCGTAATTAAGACTTATTACATTTGTTCTGATATCTCAACATATGAGCAAAGCTTTGTCATTTGTGTTAATATGAAATTGTATAACAAAAATAAATTTACTGGAATTGTAGTTTCTTCATTCGTTTTTATTACACTGTTGAAATTGTAAGAACTTGCCTATGCAAGTAATGGTCAACTACAAGTGTTCAATGTGCAATATGACACTTTGTGTAGATAATCACTTGGAAGAAAAACAAAAGGTGCAAACTTTAGACAATTAGGTTTAAAATTTGTCTGTTATGAAATGAAATCATAACTACATTATATTTTGAAAATTAATTTTCGACATTTTTTCAGCTAATTACCTACGTAACACTGGCGGAAGCGACCGACATTGTCCTCCCTGGAAATCTACAAAATAATTTAAAAAAAAACAACTATCGGAGAGTTCAGTGACACACACACATGCAGAAGTAATAGGTATTTTTCATACAAACTTTCACACCTCTTTACATCTTTTAAGGGATGAACTTTAAAAAATCTGAGACGTGTTTCATTATTTTTTTTATATTTAGACACTACCTACAGTAAGAAAGTTACCAAACATCCCATTTCGAAGGGACAGTCCCGTTTTCATGATATACAATGAAATCAAAAATGAGTTTCTGTCGAGTTCGAGTCACATTTGAAATTTTTGTTTACATGGGAAAGCGTCTTAACTTGAACTACCATAGGCGACTCGATCGCCACTTATTTTTGATCGCCCGTTACGTTCCTTAGTTCCGGATAAGCACAAAAGTGCCCCGTTTTTATAAAACATAGTTTTTGTAAAAAATGGGTGTGAATTTCAAAAATTTTGCAACACATGAACCGAAATGCTTCAAAAGTTCAAACCACGAGTCCACAAAATTGATTCCTGTCTTAAGTCTTATATCATTGAATAATTATTATTCAATGCTTATAGGTACTTTTAACCCATGGGGAGTGCTTGTTTTGTGCACTTTCGCTTTCAAAAAGTGTTCACAAAGGCTCTGGAACTACAGACTTGGTATTGGTGTTATTCGATCAGAAATTAAAAATTATTGCATGTTTATCTGCCATCTGGGCGCCATCCCCAAGCGTGGCGGGCGAAGTAACGTGGTGATTTTTCAGTTTTTCCCTACATCTTCTACAATTTTGGTCCGATTGGTGTCGTCGGAAAAATCTTGTAAACGCGCACAACTCCTGACGGAATTTTGTTTTTTTCTTTGGGACGAACTTAACCACGGCGAGATTAACCACCTGTGCAAGGCGCGCTTCAAGGGGTAGTCGACTTCGGCCGCCTAAAACTTTCTTAAAGCTCTAATCGCGGTCTCGATCGAGCTATAAAAACTGCCCCCAAAACCTTCATACTATTTTGTGAAGGATTTTTGGAGAAACCTTTCATTAGAATAGAAGGGTAGAACGTGTGTTTCTTCCCCCCCCCCCCCCCAAAAAGTTTTACTTAGCACCACTAAAGGCATTCGTACACAAAATGTAAGACCAGTTATTGGTTGTCGTATAAAAGTTATGCACCTTTTACTATCAAAAACAGTATCTCAGGAAATAATTCATGGGGGGAACCCTCCTTTAACACACCTTCAAGGTATATGCTACCTATTGCCAAAAATTCCAGGACACCCATTCCCGTGGAAGTAATTCACAACGGTAGAAGTATGTCCGGACGAACGGAAGGACAAAACGCAAACAATAGCACCTTCTTTTAGCGCATTTTTGCAATTTTATTTTTATCCTATACAAGGAGAAACTTACATTTTCTCGCCTCTGTGAGGACGCGAAAGAAGACAATTGCACGCATGGAGCGAGAAAATTCAATTTTGTCGGCTAGGCGAGAAAAAAAATACGCCTTATGTAAGCTAGATGGCGCGGTTGTAATAAAATGTCAAAGAAGTTATTTCTTTTTAATTAAATAAGAAACAAAATCGTCAACACTGATTTAATAATTAAATTTACCCTATGTTCACTTTATTTTACTGAATTCAAGAATTTATTTAATTACCGCGAACCTATACCTATCAATGTTTCGTGAATTTGAATACTTTCCCAATATCACTTGACCAATTCAAACGTTTCAAACTTAAGTCATAATCTAGCATTTACTTTCAATAACGAGCATCTGTATCAATACATTTAACACCAAGATGTACTTTGCACTGTAAGTAGAACACCGCTTATCCGCAATAAGTAGCATTTTAACATACGAGACTATCCCGAAGTTAAAATGTGTCCAGTGTGACTGTAAGGAATGAATAAATCTATTTATAAAACACATTTTTTTTAAATACAAGATCATCAAGGATTTAAAGTGTGCCCATTGCGCTTTCGTCGCCAAGCATAAATCCAGTCTTAAAAGCATCTAACATTTGACAAGACATGGATACTGCGAAGGATTTAAAATGTAACCGGTGTGATTTTGTCCCTGAAAACACACATTCAATTTTAAAACACATTTGTTAATACACAAGACCAGTAATAATTTCAAATGCGCCTGGTATTAATTACAACCCCTTAAATCCCGTTATTTTCTAAGGAAATAATCACGCGCCAGTGAAATGCCGGAAATGTCAACTCAGTTCGCACATGATCGGTATTCTCCACTTGCACCTCTGCTCTGTTGCACCGTGACTCCCTTCGGTGACTCCGCACTGTGCAATCGCAAGCGCGCTAGAATTTGAATTTGCGTTGAACTGTATTATAAGGGAAAGGGGTAAATCTACGAGTAAAAAATATACTCGTGGGCCCACTTAGATTGCACCGTTTCGTAAAATTTTTTTCGCGTAGTCAGCAGGAAACGTGGAAATAAACAAAACAAACGCGTGCACGTTGACGCGTTAAAGCAAATCCAAATTCAAGCGCTTGCGGTCGGACGTTGTTGAGGGATTAATTTTAAATGTAAGTGTATAGGATAAAAAATATTGTGTGCACCACGGCACGAAAGTTGTTTTCCGGGCCTCAGGAAGTGGCCAGCCTCGGCTGCGCCTCGCCTGGCCATATCTTCCTTCGCCCCGGAAAACAACCACTTTCCCGCCTTGGTACACAAAGTACTATTGTAAAAAGTAGCTTTTAATCTCACTTTGGCTGGCTGGCAGCAAATGTGGGCGCGTAGAAGAACTCTTGTAGAAAGGCAACGGGTGTACGTGTATCTACAAGGCCGTGTAATTTATCAACCTTAGAGACAGGTCTACATGATGTAGGGTTGGCGACATCTGAGCGTCATCCTCGAGCGTAGTTTACTAACGTGAAGGTTTTTCAGTTTTTTCCTATCTTCCACTACAGTTTTGGTCCGATTCTTTTCAAATTGATGTCGTCGAAAAGATGTTGTAAACACGCACATGTCCTGCGTGGCGGAATTTTGTTTTTTGTCCTAGGGGCGAAATTAACGACCTTTTGCAAGGCGCGCGTCTTCGAGAGGTAGTCAACTTCGGGCGCCTTTTACCTTCAGTTGCGAATTTTGTCACGCGGTTTAACGTTTCGCGAATCGCTGTCTCTCGTTCTTGTGTCGCCAATAGAAGCTGAAGCTTATTGAGCAATGAGAAGTGCCCCAAAAATTAAGTCAATCTTGTGGAAGGTTTTTAGCGAAATCCACCAAAATGTGAGTGTAATATAAATATATGCACCGAAAAAGGAAATGTGGTAGCCTCCGACAAGATCTAACTGATGGTGGAGTGAAAACTTCAAACGCGAATTCAAAGAGAATGTGGTAGCCGTAGCCCCCGACACGATCTTCCTGATGGTGGAGTCAAATATTCAAACGCGAATTGCGGATGAACGGGACTCCGGAAGTGGGTACCGTCAAAGAGAATGTGGTAGCCCCCCACACGATCTTCCTGATGCTGGAGTCAAATCTTCAAACGCGCATTGGAAGGGAACGGGACATCGGAAATGGATACCGGCAAAGGAAATATGGTAGTCCCCGACAAGATTTTACTGATGGTGGAGTCAAAACTTTAAACGCGTACAAAATTATAGACCCATATCTAATCTGAGTATTTTCTCTAAAGTATTTGAAAAAATAGTTAGTGCAAAGATATGGTCCTTTTTAACTACACACAACGTCATAACAGCATGTCAACATGGTTTCCGGCCGGGCCACTGCACTGAAACGGCAAACTTTGACTTTGTGCAACATTTATTTCGGGAGTTGGACAAAAACAACATTATAGTGACCCTTCAATTTGATCTGCCAAGTGCATTTGATAGTGTACATAAAGACATCGTGTGTGAAAAATACGGTATTAGAGGTCCAATCAATGCGTGGATACTCTCGTATTTGACACACAGAACCCTCAGAGTCAAAGTAAATGGTACTATTTCTGACATCTTTATAGTGGATACTGGCACGCCCCAAGGGAGCGTATTAGGACCCCTAATTTTTCTGCTTTTATAAATGATTACTGGAATATGTCACACGGGGTAAACTTTTTATGTATGCCGACGATACAACGGTGGTAGCGAGTGGTGCTTCAATCCAAGATGTACTCGGTGATGTCAACAAAATGCTACTTCAATTCGACTCGTGGTGCAACAAAAACAGATTAACGATAAACTACAATAAGTCAGTTTTTATTGAGATTTACTCCATAT